TCAAGAAGACTGTTTATGCCCTTAAGCAAGCGCCCAGGTGCTGATACGAGAAGATGGAAAAGGTGCTACTGGATGGAGGCTTCAAGACGTCCCTGGCAGATCACAAGTTGTTCCTGCTTGGAGAGGTGGAGCAGTTGCTCCTGCTGCTGGCGTATCTCGACAACATATTACTGTTCCCACCTTCCATGGAGCAGATTGAAAGGACCGAGAAGCTGTTGAAGGACAACTTCAAGTGCAAGATGCTGGGGGATGTCCAATACTAATTGGGGCTGCAGATTGAGAGGGATGTTGAGAGGAGATGGCTGAAGGTGCGTCGGTCACACTACATCTCTAGTGTCATGGAGCGCTATGGTATGACTGGAGGTTGCACTGTGACGACACCATTTCGTGCAGGCTTCAAGCTGAAAAAGGCAGTTTAGGATGATGATGTGCTTGAGGATGAGCAGCAGAATGAGTACCAGTCACTCATTGGGAGTGTGATATATGCAGCTGTGCATACTCGACCTGATGCTTCATTTGGAATTGGGTAGCTAGAGAGAGTTGTGCAGCGGCCCACTGAGGAGGAGTTGGAGGTGGCAACGCACATGGTGTGCTACCTCGCATCAACGTCATCTGCTGGTGTTCATTTTTCAGTTGGTGGTCAGCTGAAACAGTTTGGAGCAGATGGGATCACGCCTGGAACCTTGAAGCTGTCGTGCTTCACCAACGCTATGTGGGCCTCAGAGGAGGAGGATCGGTCATCTTTGAGAGGGTTTAGCTACATGGTCGGAGGTGGACCAGTGAGCTGGAGGTCCAAGAAGCAGAGTGAGATTGCTCAGTCTTCAACAGAGGCAGAGTACATGGCGATGTACCATGCCATCAAGGAGATTGTGCTCCTGAGGAAGCTGCTGGAGGACATGGGAGCTGAACAAGAGGGACCTACACCACATTTCTCCGACAGCGAAGCTGCTACTAGCATGACCACTAATTCCATCTTGAATGGGCTGAACACAAACATGAAGGTTAAGTGGCACTGGGTGAGGCAGATGGTGAAGGAGGGGATTGTTGAGCTTCATCATGTGAAGGTCAAGCAAGCAGGCATCAGATTTTCTCATCTAGAGACTTCCTTAGAATGCACATTGGAAGTGTGCAAAAATGTGTCGCATAGCATTGCACTAGTGTGGGCAGCGGTGCCATTAGTGCATGCGTGTGAGTGTGTGTGCATGCAGTCCGTTAGTCTGAAGGGGAGTTTGTTAAATGCCCGTCACTTTGAGTACATGTCATCCTAGCGTCCTGCCGAATGCTCGTGCTATTCAAATGTGCATTGTTTGCATAATCATATGTCAGTATACATGGCTGTTGGATTTTGTCAGCTCTCTGTTTTTCTCTACATGCTTTATCATGCAGGAGAAATCCAGAGCTTTTTAACGATACCAAGATCGCCTTATTCCGACCAAGATCGCCCAAGTTACAAGATTTCCAAGATTTTGGCATTCTATCTCATTTTGAGATATTATCTACATTGGGCGATTATTGGGCCATGACTAGATTGGATTTTGCATGTGACACCTCAAGGACCTCATGCCAACGGTTGCATCCTTGCTGTTAGGAAGTTTTCTACCATCCTTTCCTAGCACTTGGAGAACCATTTCGTTCTCATGGTTCTCTTGGAGTCCCCAACTCCAACTTTCTATGCCTTAATGCTTGTACTTCCTCTACCATTTTCGTAATGCGACTGCTGAACGTTTTTACTTCGTTCTCTCTCTAGAGATCATCTTAACAACTGATTCAAATTGCAAATGGTAGATATGGCTTTGGCGCATAATCCTGCCGAGTGGATAGTAAGTTGGGAATTGAATTGGATTCAATTGAAAAAAAAAAAGAAAAAAATCGTAGTAAGTTCTCAAATTGACAGATCCTGGGCAACACAAAGTGCAGGGCGGGGCAGCATGCTCGTGGTAGGGCAGGACAGAGTGCGAAGGGCAAGGCAGCGTGGTAACGTGGGGCAGTAGGAGTGACGGGCAGTAGGAACGAGCAGTAGGCACGGACCTAACCTACTCGATGATACCATGTTGAGAAGTACAGACAGCGGAATGGTATTCACTAAGGAATGGGGGGTACAAGTAGAAACCCTTAAATGAGTTGTACTGTATTCTTCCAGCTATAGGACCCGCCAGTAAAAGGGTCCTCCGTGACTCCGTAAAAAGGGAGTGGGACTCTTATTTTGGTACTGTTTTGTGAAGACCCCCGTTTTGCCCCTAATCATTATACGACCCTCCCTTTTCTGTATACAGTAGTTGTAAATGCAATTGCGCGCCAGCTTCTAGAGGAAAAACTTCGAGTTCTGACACACTCATTGTGTCAGATTCCAATTCATACACGTTTTTTCTTGTCATGCACGATTTTTTTACACTGATCCGACGCGCCGCTCGCGTGAAATTTGCACACAAAGGGGTGTTTTTGTTACGAATATAGGACCCCTCCCTGGGTAAACGAATTGTACATGGTAAATTCAATAATATTGATAGAGAAATAAGTGTACCCGTGACTTCAAAAACTTCATGCCACCTAAATGTTCAACCTAGCATTTTTTGTGAATTTGTAGAGAGTCCTCCGGGTCCTATAGCCGGGAGAATACCGTACCCCATATTGTGTACCTCACCATAGCTTAGCAAATTCAATAAACATATAAGCATGTTTTGACATCTTTATAGTGTGGTCCTCTTGTAGATTGCGGAGGCGTAGGAGCAAGGGCCATGCAAGATCATCGTCAAGGCATTCAAGACTTGCGACATCTCGAGCAGTATCAACGGCGAAGAGAACAACCTGGTAATGTCACACCTGTGTGCAAGAAGTACAACTGACGTGCAAGACGATATGTCTTTGAAAGGGAGCACGGAATGTTACAGATTAAGGACGGAGTCTATGAAGATTAGGGGGCCGAAATATCTCAAAATTGTTGGTCTAGAATTCTGGACAGAATTGTCGACTTCACAAGAAACGTCATTGGCCTCAATGGTGTAGTAGGAAGCTTCTGCTGCTGCTGCTGCTTCCACTCCTTGTAGTACAAGGACTCAAGGAACTTCACATCCCTTGACACAGTCACCTGCTGGCTGGTGAAGTCCCATAGCAGCCAGCCCTTGTCGTCGACGAAAAACGAACCGTTAGAACTTCACCAGTTTCAGATATGTTGTAGCACTAGACCGTGGCTACAATTCCCAATTTGAATCGCACAAAAAGGTGAATTAAATCTTGAGTGCATTGGGGGTATGCTGCTAGAGAAAAATTAACTCAATCACAAATGTCCACAAGCACAAAAGATTCCCTCCCTATAGGAACCCAACTTTGCCCTTGTCCTTCTTCCCAACCTTTCAAATCCACCTCACTCCAACTTGGCCACACTTGCCAACCTGGTTTGGCTTCTCGCAACCACTTGGCATCATCTACAATTATGGTGACGAATTTCCCAACCCCCAAAAGTCTATACCCCATATTGAGTCACTCCGCAAATTCCCATAGTTGCCGCATCGAAATATCAAAAGCATACGAACTTCAACCGTTCGTAACTTTCTCATCCATGCTCCTTGGTTCGTCGGAAAGCTCTTGAGCAGAGAAGTCATTTCAGATATATGCTCAAGTAAAATAAGATTCACACACACTCACAAATTCCAAACCACACCAAACACAAATGCTTGCACGCAATCACACCACGCATGCAACGCACGAACATATGATGGGAGGCAGACAGACGTGAATGCAAGTGATAGCATCACATAACACGAAAGACTACAAGATCTTGCTCGAGAAGGCTCTTGGGGAGGCTGGGGAGGCCGGGGAGGCCGAGGGGGGAAGGAGGAGAAGGAGGAGGAGGAGGAGGAGGAGGAGGAGGAGGAGGAGGAGGAGGAGGAGGAGGAGGAGGAGGAGGGGGAGGAGGAGGGGGGGGGAGGGGGAGGAGGGGGAGGAGGAGGGGGAGGAGGAGGGGGAGGAGGAGGGGGAGGAGGAGGGGGAGGAGGAGGGGGAGGAGGAGGGGAGGAGGAGCAGCCACTTATATGCCCCATGCCCCATGCCTTTTTTTTCAGGCCTGGTCCTGACTTCTGAGCAGCAACTTATTTTTATGAAACTCAAGTCTCTTTCGTACGGCTACTGGAACAGGAATATGTTTCAACTCAATTACAGCCTAGGTAGACAGTGTGCTTAGGTACTTCAAAGATCGCCAAGTGCAGATTTTACTCAATCACAGAGAATCCTGATTCTCCTTCAACATTAGAATATTGAGCACCTCTATTACACTCGTATACAAACTAGGGCATGCTCATTTGTCCATGCTGGTTACTGTACACCACACATCCCAAATTGAACAAATCAAAACATTATTGCACCTCTTTGTATAAGTTTCGTAAGTGCTTGGTCGTTCGTTATGTTCAATCTTTGTTCGACTCGAAGCGGCCACCAGAGGCATGGGGATGGCGTGCGAAATGTTGTTGAAGGAAATTTCTAGGTCCAGTGCATATATCTTCTTCACCCTCTCGTATGTTTTGTGCAGCGCGTGTAGTGCACATCAAGATCATCGCACATGGGTCAGCCAAGTTGGCAGCTATACTCGTTGCTGGAACTTGCACAGCATAGAACACATGACATGGCAACATGACACAGAAGGGGTGCTGGCCGAAACAAGGAAACTATGAAGCTGGTGGGAAGGAGCTAGTGTGTATAAAGAGGAGGCAGGCGAGGCCCGGTAGTCACTTCATCATATATCCTCGTTTCTTGATTTGATGACTGTTGAGCCAGCTCAAAAGTCACCTCGTACCCATAAAGGTGCCGAGGCTAGTGGAAAGCAGCTAGTGTGTGCGTGCAAGGAGAAGACAGGCAAGGCCGGGTACTCACCTTGTCATACATCTTCACGAGCTTCTCGTCGGACTTGCATGCTCACGAGTGTCACATGTGATCACGAGCATGCTCATCTTGTCATACATGCTCATCTTGTCATACATCTTCACCAACTTCTTATCCGATCGGGTCTGATGCGCGTTGACGCCGACGTTGAAGTTGCCGAGATGGTCGCCTCGGAAACGGGTCACCACATACTTGGCATCCTCCTCCAGATTCTCAAACCGCCCCACAAAGTCATACTTTATGTGCCCCAGCGCACTCACGTCCCTCTGCGACGCATGCAGGCAGGTCGGCACATGCATGCATGGGGGCAGAAACATGCACCCATTGGGACAGGCACATGCACACATGGGGGCAGACACATGCACGCATGGGGGCAGACACATGCACGCATGGGGGCAGACACATGCACACATGGGGGCAGACGGGCAGAAACATGCACCCATCGGGACAGGCACATGCACACATGGGGGCAGACACATGCACACATGGGGGCAGACACATTCACACATGGGGGCAGACACATGCGCACATGGGGGCAGACACATGCACGACACATGCACGCATGGGGGCAGACACATGCACGCATGGGGGCAGACACATGCACACATGAGGGCAGACACATGCACACATCGGGGCAGAAGCATGCACACATGGGAGAAGACACAATGGTGGATTGGTTGCTGCTGGAGTCTCATGCCAGGTGGCAAATACCTGTTGTACATGCCTCCTTGCACGTTTTGTGCGATCATGTGCATAGACAGACAGTCACTAAGCAACTGAGTGAGTCCGTCCCATTGACCCATGTGCCGGTCCATGTGCCACCCACCTGCAGGCCGATGTGCCGGTCCATGTGCCAGCGCCTCTTTCTGAACACGAGGCCGACGAGCTTCACAAAGTCATGGAACGACACCAGGTCGCCCCCCCCCCCCTTGACCGCCTCCCACTACCGCCAAATCCGCTCGAAAAACGCCTGCACGGGGGGAAGAGGAGCACGAGGTTAGGGGATGCGCTGAAAGAAGTGTAGAGAAAGAAAAGTCGTCTGCTTCCTATTCTAAAGTCGTTCCAGTACTTGCGAGATCCCAGGCCCGTCTTGTAATTAGGCGCGCCAGTGATGACAAGGTTGTTGGAGTGGGCTGAAAAGGGCACGCGATGGCAAGCACAAGCGGCCAGCAACAAGCAGCAGCAGGCAGCAGCAGGCGGCAGCAGGCAGAGCAGAAGCCCAGAGTGCAGACTCACGTCAATCCAGTACTCTCTGGAGCCACCAAGCACACCATGCGCCTCCCCTCACTCACATTGTTCCAGTACTCGCGGGAGCCCGGGCCCGTCTTGTTGTTGGGGGAGTCGGTGATGACCAGCTTCTTGTTGTACGCTAAAAGCACTCGTGAGAAGGGGTTGCGCACAAACGTGAAGCGGAATAGGTGGGGCCGTGACATTGTGCGCACCAGAGGGGAGGGCAGGCGGGCAGGGAGGAGTTTGGATGCGTGGAGAGTGGCACAGTGGGAAGGAAGAGGTGCATGCTCACTGCTCTCTTCTCTGTGGAGAGGGGCATGCTCACTGCTCTCTTCTCTGTGGAGTGGGGCATGCTCACTGCTCTCTTCTTTGTGGAGAGGGGCATCCTCACTGTGCTCTTCTCTGTGGAGAGGGGCATGCTCACTGCTCTCTTCTCTGTGGAGAGGGGCATGCTCACTGCTCTCTTCCCTGTGGAGAGGTGCATGCTCACTGCTCTCTTCTATGTGGAGAGGGGCATGCTCACTGCTCTCTTCTCTCTGGAGAGGGGCATGCTCACTGCTCTCTTCTCTGTGGAGAGGGGCATGCTCACTGCTCTCTTCTCTGTGGAGAGGGGCATGCTCACTGCTCTCTTCTCTGTGGAGAGGGGCATGCTCGCTGCTCTCTTCCTTGTAGAAAGGGGCATGCTCGCTGTTCTCTTCTCTGTGGAGAGGTGCATGCTCGCTGCTCTCTTCTATGTGGAGAGGGGCATGCTCACTGCTCTCTTCTCTCTGGAGAGGGGCATGCTCACTGCTCTCTTCTCTGTGGGGAGGGGCATGCTCACTGCTCTCTTCTCTGTGGAGAGGGGCATGCTCACTGCTCTCTTCTTGGTGGAGAGGGGCATGCTCACTGCTCTCTTCTCTGTGGAGAGGGGCATGCTCACTGCTCTCTTCTCTGTGGAGAGGGGCATGCTCACTGCTCTCTTCTCTGTGGAGAGGGGCATGCTCACTGCTCTCTTCTTTGTGGAGAGGTGCATGCGCACTGCTCTCTTCTCTGTGGAGAGGGGCATGCTCACTGCTCTCTTCTCTGTGGAGAGGTGCATGCTCACTGCTCTCTTCTATGTGGAGAGGGGCATGCTCACTGCTCTCTTCTCTGTGGAGTGGGGCATGCTCACTGCTCCCTTCTTTGTGGAGAGGGGCATCCTCACTGTGCTCTTCTCTGTGGAGAGGGGCATGCTCACTGCTCTCTTCTCTGTGGAGAGGGGCATGCTCACTGCTCTCTTCTCTGTGGAGAGGTGCATGCTCACTGCTCTCTTCTATGTGGAGAGGGGCATGCTCACTGCTCTCTTCTCTCTGGAGAGGGGCATGCTCACTGCTCTCTTCTCTGTGGAGAGGGGCATGCTCACTGCTCTCTTCTCTGTGGAGAGGGGCATGCTCACTGCTCTCTTCTCTGTGGAGAGGGGCATGCTCACTGCTCTCTTCTCTGTGGAGAGGGGCATGCTCGCTGCTCTCTTCCTTGTAGAAAGGGGCATGCTCGCTGTTCTCTTCTCTGTGGAGAGGTGCATGCTCGCTGCTCTCTTCTATGTGGAGAGGGGCATGCTCACTGCTCTCTTCTCTCTGGAGAGGGGCATGCTCACTGCTCTCTTCTCTGTGGGGAGGGGCATGCTCACTGCTCTCTTCTCTGTGGAGAGGGGCATGCTCACTGCTCTCTTCTTTGTGGAGAGGGGCATGCTCACTGCTCTCTTCTCTGTGGAGAGGGGCATGCTCACTGCTCTCTTCTCTGTGGAGAGGGGCATGCTCACTGCTCTCTTCTCTGTGGAGAGGGGCATGCTCACTGCTCTCTTCTCTGTGGAGAGGGGCATGCTCACTGCTCTCTTCTCTGTGGAGAGGGGCATGCTCACTGCTCTCTTCTCTGTGGAGAGGGGCATGCTCGCTGCTCTCTTCCTTGTAGAAAGGGGCATGCTCGCTGTTCTCTTCTCTGTGGAGAGGGGCATGCTCGCTGTTCTCTTCTCTGTGGAGAGGGGCATGCTCTCTGCTCTCTTCTCTGTAGAAAGGGACATGCTCACTGCTCTCTTCACTGTGGAGAGGTGCATGCTCACTGCTCTCTTCTCTGTGGAGATAGCTCCACACCTGGGAGTGTGCAGAGAGCACATAGCGGCATGCAGGGCACATATGGCATGGCAGCACACTCACCGCCTGCTTCTCTGTGAAGTGCACGTGCAGCATGTGCCAGCTCGCCCTGTCCTCGTCTAGCGCCAGCAGTGGGTCCTCCGGGTGTGGCTGCCCCAGCATGGCTCGCAGCCACATGAGTCACGAGTTGGCCACCACCTTGGGGGCCGTGCAAATGAATATCTTGGGCTTCTCTGGTGGACACCAGCAGAGGGAGTACGGGCGGGGAGAGGGTGGGGAGAGCGTAAGGAGTGGAAATGTGGGGAGGGAGAGAAGGTGAGTGTGGTGGAGTAGGGTGACAGGATCCAGTTGTAGACCCCACTTGCCGCCACCCACCTTTTTACCGTGGCATGAATGCGTCACAGTGGCTTGGTGGTGGTGGGCCATGCGTCGCACACAGAGGGAGGGGGGTTCCATTGAGGACGAGAGGAGTAAGTAAGACCTAGCCCTCCCACTCCGTCGCCTTGCTAATCACTTGCCATCTACCCGCCCACCTGCCACCCACCTGCTTGCCTGCCACCCACGTGCTACCCACCGAGGGCACCCACCTGCCACCGTGGTGAACATGCATCTATGTGGGACCAAAAGCCTTGCTGCAGGCCGACGCCCTTCTTTTCCCACCTGCCACCCACTGCCACCCACTGCCACCCACCTGCCGCCCACTTGCCAGCGCCCTCACCTTCCTCCATAGTGAACATGGACCACTTCTGCTTCGTGATTGGCCGGATCTCTCATTCCGCCGGCACACAAACAGGTGTTGGCGGAAGGACGGCGAGCGGCGGGCGGCCTGGGCGGCAATGAAGCGCGCCTCCACAGCGCTACTGTTTACCGCCACCAACCCTGCCGCTAGGCTGAGAGAGAAGAGCTCCGAGACCTAGGAGAGGGGAGAGGGGGAAGTGGGGAAGAGTGGTGGGGGGAGTAGAGGGGGAGTTGGGAGGCAGAATGGATGGAGGCTCGATGGCACTGCTGTTCATGGCCACCAGCGCCGATGCTAGGCTGAGAGAATACAGCTGGAGACCTGAAGGAGGGGGATGGTGGGGGAGTTAGGAAGGGAGGGCGAAGGTGGGTCTACTGCGAAGATGAGCCAAGGGCTCTGAGACCTGAGGAGCGCGCAGGGGTGCATGCGGGTGGAGGTGAGTATACAAGGAGAGGGAAGATCGAGGGACGCGATTAGAGTGACGTTAGGCGGGCCGCTGCCGGCCGTGCTGCTAGGCTGAGCGAGGTGCTGCTAGGCTGAGTGAGGTGGTGCTGAAAAACTTGCGCTTTCCCAACCACCACCTAGAGGGGTCAACAGAGCATGAGAGAGGAGGAGAGCTTTGGGTTCAGCATTGTGTAGAGCATGGCAACCCACCTGCAGCTGATGGCACCGCACTGAACCCACCTGCAGCTGATGGCATTGCATCAGAGTCTCATCCGACACCTTAAATCTCCGAACCACTCTTCTCACTCTCCTCCGCAGCCCTCCCCCTTCCCTCCTCTCACCCCTTTGCCCCACGCCTTCCCCTTCCCTCACCACCTCTCTCCCCACCACATCCTCCTCCCCAGCCCTCATCCCCGTCTCCCCTCCCTCTCCCTCCTCCACCTCAACCTGCTCCTCAAGCTGACACATGGCAACGCGCTTTTGGGTGGCGTGGAGCAGGAGCAAGGAGCGGGCGGGGGGAAAGTAGTCCATGATTTGCAGCACGTGGGTGGGCGAGTGGGTGGCGAGGGTGAAGGAGACGGCACGGTCGGCAAGGTAGGTCATGGTGATGCGGCGCATGGAACACATGTGGGTTGAATACTCCAACTCCTCACTGCACCCGGGGCAGCCCGTGGGGTCGAGGTGCTGGGGAGTGGGGAGTGGGATGAGGGATTGGGGAACCAGGAATTGGGAGGGGAATGGGGGGAAGAGCAATGGGAAAGCGAAGGGGCTGGTTGGATGGAGGAGTTGAAGAGCGATGGGCGGCGTGGGTGGGAAGCTGGACTCATTTTGGCAGCGGGAGCAGGAGCAAGTCGAGGAAGGGAGGGGCTGCAGTACATATGCAGGCAGGGCGATAGAGGGTGGAGAACGGACATGTGAAATGGAGAAGGGAAAGTGAAGCGTGCGGCGTGAGCAGGGGTGCACACAGGGTGAGCATGGGTGCAAGGTGCAACAGAGGGCGGCGCTACAGCATGCAGCGTGTGCCCTCACATCAACATACATGGCAGTGGAGTTGGCGAGGCGGTGCACGCCCTCCTTGCGCACCAGCAGCACAGTGCGAGCACAGTTGCAGCAGCAGCCGGCAGTACTACTGCATGCAGTGTGTGCCCTCACATCAACACTGCCCTCACATCAATACTGCCCTCACATCAACACTACCCTCACATCAACACTGCCCTCACATCTGACAATGGGAGTTGTGTGTTGGCCTCGTCCTCGCTTGGGCGGAGCCGACTTCGTTGTCGGGTGTGCGGGGAGCGCAGCCGACCTGCTGCAGTGAGGGACGCCGACCTGGGCGTCTGGACGGCGTCCTGGGCGCCTGGACGCCGTCCTGGGCGCCTGGACGCCGACCTGGGCGCCTGGACGCCGACCTGGGCGCCTGGACGCCGCCCTGGGCGTCCTGGTTGCCCTGTCGACTAAGTTACACGGGCGACGGAGTATCGCAGAGGTCCGCGACGGTTGCCCAGACACGTACGCGCCTCTGGCCACCTTTACCGCTGAGCCGGGCTCTAGTCTCTACACACTTCGCACTGGTCCCCGAGGGCAGTAGCAGCAGCAGCAGCAGAAGCCGCCCCAGCAGTAACTACTGCCCCCGACCCCTGTCACTGCCCCCCGTCAGGTCCCCGCGTCTCACCAGGTTGCCGCGTCTCACCAGGTAGCTGTGTCTGGTCAGGTTCCCGTGTCTGGTCCAGTTGCTGCGTCTTGCTCCTGCCGGTCGCTTGCCCACCCCACCGTTCTGTGGCACCACCGGCTGGGGCACCCGTCCATTCCTCGCCTGCGCGCTATGTCTAGTCAGCGTCTTGTCTTAGGCCTCCCGCGTGTCTTGCCGTCGCTGCCGCCTTCGCTTGCACCACCTTGCGGTCCCTGCGTCGAGGGTCGGCTGCGTGCCACCCCTCACTCCTCCTCCCTTCGTCCGGCCACCGAGCCCTTTGAGACTCTCCACTTGGACGTCTGGGGCCCCGCCTCTCGCCCTGGCCCTGAGCGCGAGCATTTCATTCTCGTGGTCGTTGACGACTACTCCCGCTACACCACAGTGTTCCCCCTGGCAAAGATGTCTAAGGTGACTTCTAAGCTAATCACGTGGCTGCTTACCACTAAAGACACTCGTGGTCGTCGTGTCAACTGCCTTGACTCCGACCGAGGGGGTGAGTTTCGCTCCGGCATACTCGCTGGATTCTGTCGCGAGCAGGGCATCCGTCAGTCCTGGACGCTTCCAGAGTCCCCACAGCAAAATGGGGTTGCTGAGCGCCGTATAGGTTTGGTCATGGAGATCGCCCGCACCTCCATGACTCACGCCCGTGCCCCCCATTTTCTGTGGCCCTACGCGGTTCGGTACGCCGCTCACCAGCTGAACCTCTGGCCACGTGTCTCTAGGACAGAGGTTTCACTGACCAGTCTGGACCAGGTCCCCTCGTGTTGCCACACGTTTTCGTGTCTGGGGTTGCTTGGCACTTGTTCGCGACACCTCCGCGGACAAGATCTCGCCTCGCGCCGTTCCCTGTGTCTTCCTTGGTTTCCCAGAGGACTCCTCTGACTTCACCTTTTACCACCCTCCCCTTCACCGGTTCTTTGACTCTCGTGACGTCCGTTTCGACGAGTCTGTCCCCTACTACGTCAGGTACCCCAGTCGAGGTCTCCCGGTTCCTCCTCCCCCTCTCTTCCTGACTTCGGCTCTCCCTCCTGCTCCCCCGGTACAGCCTCCCCCCCCTGGTCCAGCCCCGTCAGGTGTGTCCCACGCTACCCCTCCCCCATCGGTAGCCCCTCAGGTGGAGCCTCCTTCCCCGCAGCCCTCCTCACAACCTACTGCAGACCCTGCAGGAGCCAGTGTCTGTGGCGAGGACCCTGGAGGTGCTAGCTCTAGAGGAGTTGGAGTTGGATTTGAGAGCAAACCTGTCCGAGGTCCTAGTTCTGGGGGTGCTGGAGTTGGAGCCGAGCCCGTGCCTGCAGGAGACTCTAGTCTTCGGGGAGCTGGTGTTAGTCGAGCTGTCCCTGCGGGGGCTACGACTGCGGGTGCACCCTCTGCTAAACCTGGAGAGCCTGGGACTGACCCTGTTACTTCTTGTGGTGCTGGCACTTGGGGTGGTGCGGCTGGTGCCTTGAAGGGTAGTCTTGGGGCTGCCCCTGCCCCGGACGCTACTCCGCGCCCGCACCCCTACTCGACTCGGCACCAGGCCCGTCTTCGCCGTGCACGTGAGGAGCAGCTGGAGTTGGAGAGAGAGAGCCTCGAGCTGGAGCGGCAGCTCTTGGAGCTATGTTAGCTGGAGGAGCAGCAGCAGCAGCAGCAGCAGCCGCAGCTGGAGGAGCAGCAGCAGCAGCAGTAGCTACAGCCAGAGGAGCAGCCGCAGCAGCAGCAGCCGCCGCTGGAGGAGCAGCAGCCGCAGCCGCAGCAGGAGCAGTAGAAGCAGCCACCTCCTCCTCCTGTCTCTGGTCTTCGGACCCTCGGTCTCCCCTCTCCCTCTCCTCCCTCCTCCCCCTCTCCTCCCCCCTCTCCTCATTCTCAGCCTCCGTTGTCCCCTCCTCTTTCTCACACTTGGGCCTCTCGTCGCTCTCCTCGTGCTCGTCCCTCGTCCCCTGTTCCCGTCATTGACCTTCGTACTGCCCTGTTTCGTTCTAGTCTGCCTCGTTTGTATCCGTCTGTCCTTCCTTCTCCTCCTGAGTCAGCCCTCACTGCTTCCCTCTCTACTCCTGTCACTGACTACTACCACACGTACCGTCCTGTTCTCTCTCGTGTTCTCGCCTCTCTTGTTACCGACCCTCGTGCCTCTGTCTCTGCTCTTACTACCGCATTCACTGCGTTTGCCTCTACTCGCCGCCTGGACATACCGACTCCTCGCACTTACGCTGAGGCAGTGTCAGGGCCTTGGGCCTCTCAGTGGAGAGCTGCCATGGACTCAGAGATGGCCTCCTACAGATCCACAGGCACCTACGTCGACGAGGTTCCCCCCCTTGGGGCGAACGTAGTCGATGGCATGTGGATCTTCAGGGTGAAGCGGCCACCGGGATCTCCTCCGGTCTTCAAGGTGAGCTACGTGGCTAGAGGTTTCATTCAGTGCGAGGAAGTTGACTTCTTTCAGACCTTCGCGCCTACCCCGAAGATGACCACTCTTCGGGTGTTACTGCACGTAGCAGCACAGAGAGACTGCGAGCGACACTCTCTCGACTTCTCCACTACCTTCCTTCAAGGTAGCCTATACAGGAGGTCTGGTTGCGTCGTCCCTCTGCCTTCACTGGCACTTTCCCTCCTGGGACCCAGTGGAGGCTGAGGCGACCGGTCTGCGGTCTCCATCAGGCTCCTCGTGAGTGGCACGACACCCTTCGTTCTACCGTGTCTGAACTCGGTTTCCAGCCGTCTTCTACCGACCTGTCGCTATTCGTTCGTCGTGGCTCCACACCGTTCTTTGTACTGGTCTACGTCGACGACCTGGTTTTCGCCACTGCTGACAGGGTTGCTTTGGCTGACGTGAAGTCCGAACTGCAGAAGAGACACACGTGCACTGACCTTGGTGAGCTGCGCCACTACCTTGGCCTGCAGATCACCAGACTCTCACAGTCTTACATGGTGCAGCAGGTCCTGCGGTTTGAGCTTCAGCACTCCACAGTACAGCGCACACCTCTTGCTGTTGACCACAGACTCACTGGACCCTTTCCTGACGAGCCGTTTGAGCCTAGTGGTCCCTACGCAGAGCTTGTGGGTTGCCTCATATACCTGATGACTTGTACTCGCCCGGACCTCGCCTTCCCTCTCAGCATCCTTGCTCGCTTTGTTGCGACATGGAGACACCGTCCTTTTCACTAGACAGCTGCTGTGAGGGTGGCGAAGTACCTAGCGACGACATCAGGCGTGGGGCTGGTTCTTGGAGGGAGACAGTCTGTTGTACTTACTGGTCACTGTGACTCTTCTTACGCTGACGACGCCGAGACTCACAGGTCTACTCAGGGGTACTGTTTCAGCCTGGGCTCTGGAGCTGTTTCGTGGAGGTCAACCCATTCCTCCTCGGTCTCGACCTCTACCGCTGAGGTTGAGATCTACGCTGGAGCCATGGCTGCACAGGAGCTGCGCTGGTTGTCGTTCTTGCTCACTGACCTTGGTGAGCAGCCGAGCTCTGCACCGACCTTGTTCACTGACAACAAGGCGTCGATTCTCCTCTTTCGTGAGCCGCGACTGGAGAGTAGAGTGAAAAACATCAACGTCAGGTACTTTCTTTTGTGAGAGTTGCAGAGGCGTGGACAGGCTCGCTTCGAGTTTGTGGAGTCCGAGGCCAACACTGCAGACATCTTCACCAAGGCTCTTCCGCCTTGTGACCACCAGAGGTGTTGTGTGCAGTTAGGTCTCGTTGACACAGGTTCTCGTCTTGCGTAGTCTTGTGTTCTCTTTGCATATACCTTTTGTGAACTCTTGAACTAGCCTTGTGGCTCTTTTGCTTGTGCTCAGAGTGTGTGGTGACGTTGTGATCCACCCTGAGCTTTGCGTCTTTGAGACTGGTCTTGTGACCATACTGTTTGGTTGTTGCATGACACCCCTCACTTAGGCTATGGGGGTGTGTCAAATGTTGTAGCCTGTAGTGAGGCATGTCATGTGGGGTACAGCAGTTAGGGTTAGGTTTATGTACCCCAATCAACCTTAGTCAAACATCATTCAGTTCTTGACACTTTTGTAGTTGTAGCAAAGTCAGGTGCTGACGAGTACCGGTGTGAGAGTTGCAGCGCAGCAGGTGACTTGTGAGAGACGAGGGTGAGCTGTTTGTTGAGTTGATATTCATTACAGGCGGTCATATAGCGGCGCTGTCCTTGTGGAATGCAAATCGTTGGTACCTGGGTGTCCTGCCTGGCTGGTTGCTGCACGGCCGTGCGTTCTGGTCAGTTCTACATGCTGTGGGAGGCCTGGCATGGACCAGAGCATGGAATGTACCAGAGCAGACGTAAGTGCACATGCTGGCAAGCATATCAAATAAAAAGCTTGGTACACGTGGATACAACGATGGGCATTTCAAAACATGACAATGCACAACCCTGTTCACAACCCTCCCCTTGGGGGTTGCGATACTTCCGGAGGAACGGCGATCCCTCCACAGTCTACACCTGAGAGCGGTCCACAGCGCGCTTTGCCACGTGGCACGAGCAGGTCCCATGCAGTGAGGAGGGCGCGTGCGAGCACAGTTGATGGGGCCGTGCAGCAGACCCTCCTGCAGCAGCAGCAATGACGGTGGCAATGGCGATGCCGAAGGCCCCTCGTCTGAACTGCAGGCGGAGGATGAGAGCGAGGCACACGGCCACCAGCGCGTACACCACCACCAGCGCTGCCCACTGCAGCCGCTGCTCCTCCTGCATGCGCGCTACCGCCGGGACCACAGCTGCTGATACAGCCGATGGTGTTGGGGGCGTTGCTACCGTGGCAGCCATGGCTGAGGCTCCGTGGTTCTCCCTGCAGGGCGGTTGTGCAGGCATGGGAGGAGAGGGTGAGCGGAAAAACATAAGAGAGCGAAGAAAGGTCACTCAGCAAAAGCACGGCACACTGAAGGTGAGGGTGGATTGTGCAATCAGACAGACTTGGTGAAAGATGGTGTAAGAAGAAGGAATCCAAGGCAATTGAAGTGTGACAAGTTACTGCAGGATACAAGCAACAAAAGGGAAGCCCACAGCTGTGAGTGTGAGTGGGCTTAAGTGAGGTGTGCATGTGTGTGCATCATGTGTGCATTCGTGTGTGCACTCGTGTGTGTGTGTGTGTGTGTGTGTGTGTGTGTGTGTGTGTGTGTGTGTGTGTGTGTGTGTGTGTGTGTGTGTGTGTGATGGAAGCAGGGAGGCATGGCAAGAGCAGCGACCTGAGAGTGGGGGAGATGGAGCGCACGACAGGCACATCAGAGCCCTCCTGCACGACAGGCACATCAGAGCCCTCCTGCACGACAGGCACATCAGAGCCCTCCTGCACGACAGGCACATCAGAGCCCTCCTGCTCGCCCTGCTGCTGTCTTCCGTGCATTGCTGCCCCCCCCAGCACTGACTTCACCACCTCTCCCACGCCATGCCCCGCCTCCTCCTCTCCATCCGCTTCTCCCTTCCCCACCCTGCCCACCTGCCCCTCGCCTGCACCTCTCACCCCTACTGCCGCCCCTCCCCCACGGCTCTCCTCGTCGCCATGCTCTGCCAGCCATTGCTCCCGAGGCACCGCCCCTCCCTGCTTGGCCTTGGTGCTGCCAGCCGCCGCCGTGGCTGCATGAGGCTGGGCGGCAGCAGAGGCAGAAGCATGGAGGGGAGTGGCGAGAGGCGAGTCAGAGACGGCAGGAGTGCCGCCATGGTCAGGTGGGGAGCGCCTGGACACAGCAGCAGCGGGAAGCAGCGCGTGCAGGGAGCAGTGCAGCAGCACGGGCAAGTCACCACTGCCCACCTTCCTCACCGCCCCCTCTCCCCCCACGGCCCTCTGCACGCGCTCCCCCACGCCCTGGCACCGGCCCCCCCGCACTAGCCGAGCGAGGCGCTGTGCCTCGTGGGAACAGGTGCGTGCAGGCGCTGTGTGGAGGGCGTGTGGCGAGGGGCAGTCAATGGTGAGGGACGCCGTGGTGAAGTGCGTCTGCCTTGGCTGACTGTCATGCGCTTCACCCATGCTCCCACGGCCGTGGCCATCCTCCCCCTCCATGCGCCGCGGGGAGGGCAGCAGCAGCGTGGAGGAGGAGAAGGCGGACAGTGCCACCCGGCTGCGGTGCACCAGAAAGGAGGTAGCCACCGCTGGCAGCAGCGCCGGCAGGACGGCGGGGAGTGGCGGGGCGGTGGAGGCAGACGGTGGGAGTGAGAGCGGTGGGAGTGAGAGCGGTGGGAGTGAGAGCGGTGGGAGTGAGAGCGGTGCTGCCGAAGCGGAGGAGAAGGAGGTGCTGGGTGCGGGAGGCGGCAGCAGGGGTGGATGGCGGGCAGAGAAGACGAGGTGCAGCAGCACGTGCGTGTGGCCGTCACTCTCAGTGTGCTGCCCCTCACTCCCACCGCTCCCCTCTGCACCCCTCTGCTTGCCCCTCTGCTTGCCCCTCTGCTTGCCCCTGACCACCCCTGCACCTGACGCCACCACACCAGCCTGCTCGCCCCCATCCCCAACTGCACCTGCTCGCCCCACCCCCTCCGCCTTCCCATGCACCATCCCCCCGTCTGCATCGCTGTCACCCGCAGCTGTCACTGCGCCCCCCAGCGCCTCCTCGGCGTCCCACAGCACGCGCTGCCCGCCCCTGCCCGTGCACCGCCACCGGATCGTGGTGTACTTCCGTGATGCCTCCTTCACGATGCTCATGGGGGTGTGCGTGCAGGAGGGCAACTGGCCGGCAGGTGTGAGCGGGTGCTGCTGCCGTGCAGCAAGGACTGCCTCCGTTCCACCATCGCTGCTGCCACCATCGCTGCTGCCACCATCGCTGCTGCCACCATCGCTGCTGCCACCATCGCTGCTGCCACCATCGCTGCTGCCACCATCGCTGCTGCCACCATCGCTGCTGCCACCATCGCTGCTGCCACCATCGCTGCTGCCAGCACCACGTCGCCCTTGGCTTCCGTCACTCTCCTCCTCACCCTCTTCCTCATGCTCCCTTTCCTGCTCCACCTCCTCCTCGTCCACCTTCTCACTGCCCTTCACCCCCTCGCTCACACTCCATGACGCCAGTTCCCCCCTGCCCTCCCCAACCCCACCTGCCTCTCCTCCCAGGAGCACACTGCCACTCACTGCATCCCACCACTGCTCCTCCTCCCCATCCTCGCCCGCCCACGCCCCTTGCAGCTCCGCCCCATTCGAGTCATTGCTCTGATTCATCTCCGCCCTCTCCCGCCCTCCGCCCACATCCTCCCCCTTCTCCTCGCCTCTCCCCTCAGCACCCTCCCCTCCCTCGTTCCTCTCCTCTCCCTCGTTCCTCTCCCCTCCCTCGTTCCTCTCCTCTCCCTCGTTCCTCTCCCCTCCCTCGTTCCTCTCACCTCCCTCGTTCCTCTCCCCTCCCTCGTTCCTCTCCCCTCCCTCGTTCCTCTCCCCTCCCTCGTTCCTCTCCTCTCCCTCGTTCCTCTCCCCTCCCTCGTTCCTCTCCCCTCCCTCGTTCCTCTCCCCTCCCTCGTTCCTCTCCCCTCCCTCGTTCCTCTCCCCTCCCTCGTTCCTCTCCCCTCCCTCGTTCCTCTCCCCTCCCTCGTTCCTCTCCCCTCCCTCGTTCCTCTCCCCTCCCTCGTTCCTCTCCCCTCCCTCGTTCCTCTCCTCTCCCTCCTCTGCATCCTCGCCTCCACTGCTGCTCCCCCCATCGCTCACCTCCCCAGCACCGTTCGCGCTACTGTTGCTCACCCTGCCATCGCTGCTTCGGCTTCCATACCCAAGGTCCAGGTCTGGCATGGCACTAGCCTCGGCAGAGGTTTGGGGAGGAGCAGAGGCAGCAGAGGAGGGAGTGTGTGTGTGTGGCGGAGACTGAGTAGTGGCTTGGGGGCTGTGGGTGTGGGTGTGGGTGTGGGTGTGGGTGTGGGTGTGGGTGTGGGTGTGGGTGTGGGTGTGGGTGTGGGTGTGGGTGTGGGTGTGGGGGGTGGACGAGGCAGCAGCAGGTGCGCGGCGCAGTGGGCAGTTGTGCGGAGCGAATCCGATGCGCTGGTGCTCCCTGTCATACGTCACTCGCATGCCCCTCACTGCCACTCCTGGTGCCATGCCATGCCATGCCATGCCATGCCATGCCACGTGGAATCAGACCCATGCAGCATGCACAGGCAGCAGCCATGCGACAAAGGCAAACACACGCGCAAGCACACATGCAAGGGCGAGAGAGCAGTGAGGTTAGGCGAGAGGGGATGTGGCGAGCACTGAAAGAAGGCGAGTTGGAACAACAGCCAATGGAGCTCCACGGTTGCACGAGTGGGCATGTACGGTGTGCCTTTGGGGCATGTACGGTGTGCCTTTGGGGCATGTACGGTGTGCCTTTGGGGCATGTACGGTGTGCCTTTGGGGCATGTACGGTGTGCCTTTGGGGCATGTACGGTGTGCCTTTGTGGCATGTACGGTGTGCCTTTGGGGCATGTACGGTGTGCCTTTGGGGCATGTACGGTGTGCCTTTGTGGCCCCGGCAAGCTTGGCAGGGGCCACCAATGAAACACCACAGCGGCACCACCCTAGAGCCTTGAGTGTTGGGCAAGGTCATGGACGGTGCTGGCACCTGCTTGCTGTACGTCCGAGGCTACAGCCATGCACTCATGCGTCGCATGCACGGCTAAGAATACGGACGCCACTGCCACTGCCACTGCCACTGCCACTGCCACTGCCACTGCCACTGCCACTGCCACTGCCACTGCCACTCACGCCTCTTGCGCGATGGATTCACCATCCGCTAGCAGCCCTTCACCATCCGCTAGCAGCCCTTCACCAACCGCTAGCAGCCCTTCACCATCCGCTAGCAGCCCTTCACCATCCGCTAGCAGCCCTTCACCATCCGCTAGCAGCCCTTCACCATCCGCTAGCAGCCCTTCACCATCCGCTAGCAGCCCTTCACCATCCGCTAGCAGCCCTTCACCATCCGCTAGCAGCCCTTCACCATCCGCTAGCAGCCCTTCACCATCCGCTAGCAGCCCTTCACCATCCGCTAGTGAGAGGGCGGTACTTCTCACCTCACTCAAGGCTCAATCCGCTTCACTCACCTCCCATCCGCCTCTCACCTCCCATCCGCATCTCACCTCCCATCCGCATCTCACCTCCCATCCGCCTCTCACCTCCGATGAGAGCACCGCCACTGCCGTTGTCAAACACGCCCAGACACACCGCGTCCTCATGCTTCTTGTGCTGCCACGTGCCAGGGGGGGGGGGAGGGAAGAGGAGGTGTCAGTTGTGGGAGCGTTAGAGATGATGAGGCGAGGGCGAAATGAGGGAGGAGGGGAGGTAGAGGGGATGTGGCATGGCATGGCATGGCATGGCAGGTGAGGTTGGAGTTGAAGGGAGAAGCACGGACCTTGAAGAGGTAGTTGTGCGGCAGCAGGCGCAGCGCTGCTCCGTTGCCAAACACGATGGTGACCGGCGGGAACAGCCGGTTCATGCCGCCCGCGCTGATTGGGGGAAGGAGATTCGGGAGGAAGTGCAGAGGTGGGAATAGGTTGGGCTGAAGCGGCAGACACGCTTTTAGCCGGCAAGTTGCGGGGCTTGTTTGCAATGATTAGCATGGAATGAAGGGCATGAGCTGCGAAAAGCAACAAGCAGGAACCTAAGGCAAGACGGGCAGGCAGGCTGGCAGGCTGGCAGGCGGCGGACGGGTGCACGGGCGGGCGGGCAGGAGGGCGGGAAGGCAGGCAGGCAGAGAGGGAGGCAGGCAGGAGTGGAGTGGGAGGGAGGGAGGGAGGGAGGGAGGGGCTGACAGGGAGACGTTGGCGAAGCAGATGTCGGTGTAGCGCGCATCGGGGCCCGGCACCTGGGGGAGAGGCACCGCCGCCCGCACCTGATGGATGGCGCCGTGCCGTGCAGGGGGGAGGGGGTTGCGTGGGGGACGAGGGGAATGAGGCTGTGAGCATGCAGCAGCATGAACACGCCCTACGCCATAGTGGCGTTGGGGGGGAGCGAGAGTGAGAGTCAGAATGGTAGTGAGAGTGAAAGTTGGGGAGAGAGCGAGTGCGCGAGTAGAAGGTGGGTGGAGGTAGAGAGGGGCAGTGAGGAGGCAGGCAGGGCACTGACGAGGGCAGCGAAGGCGAGGAAGGCGGCGGAGGGCAGGTAGGAGAAGGTGGTGCCGCTGTCCAGCATCACCCCCCCGTACGGCCCCTCCTCCCACACCGCTGCCGCCACCGTCACGCGCTGCCGCCCCACCAGCATCTCCTCCACACTCACTATGTAGTACGGCGTCTCACTGTGGGGGGGATGGCAGAGTAGGGGAGGACAATGCCAGTTGAAGATTGGCGAGTGGCTGCTTGCCGGAAGTGGATGACTGCCTACCCTCAGCTTGGTTTGGGTTTGCCAACCCTCAACTCTGGAGGCTTGGGAAATTTCCACCCCGACCAAGTGAGATTGAAATGTTGGGTTTCCAACCAATCAAAAACTGCCAGTTAATTGTTAGAATCTACTCAATCTAAAACACAGCCATACAAAGGCTCTAAGTTGGGTTTTCCCAACCTAATATAATTGTCACATAGGCTCCAAGCCTTGGAACCATCCCATCATGAAACCATGGTTGTGAGAGTTCTCAAAGAGGAATATTGGAGGGGGTTTGAGTTAGCAAGCTCATTCTTCACCTCCCACTCCAACTAATCAATTGGAAATGGGATCATCTCACTAAGTCATTGTTGGCTCTCTCACAAGCTTTTCTACACAACTTCTAGAATTGGTTATATTGAAGCCTTCGATAAGAACCACTTCGAGAAGTTGTGTGGGGAAGCTTGTGAAAGAGCCAACAAAGACTTAGGAGAGAACCTCATTTCGAATTGATTAGTTGGAGTGGGAGGTGAAGAATGAGCTTTCTAACTCAAACCCCTTCCAATATTCCTCTTGGGTAACTCTTCCAACCATGGTTCCATAATAGGATGGTTCATAGGCTTGAAGTCTGTATGAGAATTTTATTAAGTTGGGAAAACCAAACTTAGAGCTTTTGTGTGGCTGTGTTTTAGAAGAAATAGATTGTAACAATTAACTGGCAATTTGTTTTTGGTTGGAGATTCAACCTTTCAATCTCACTTGGTTGGGTTGGAAATTTTCCAAGCCTCCAAAGTTGAGGGTTGGCAAACCCAAACCAAGTTGGGAAGTAAGTGAGGCAGATGGATCATGGATGGGCAGCACGCGACGAGAGGGGAGAATGACAAAGAGGGATGCTACAGTAGCAGAAGCAGCACCATCAGCAGCACCCACCTGGCGGAGGGCAGCAGCACCCACCTGGCGGAGGGCAGCAGGGGCGTCCACACGGTGCCGGGCAGCTCCTCCACGCGCCCCAGAATCAGCTCACCCCCCTCGCCCTCCGCATCTACAGTCCCCCCTTCCTCTCCCCCTTCGCCCTCCCCTCCCCCCTGCCCATGCGCCATGCCTGCCACCTCCCCCTCCACACGAGCGCTATCTAGCGTGTCGCCACCAGGGCTACCGCCGTGCACCTTCTCAGCCACATTGAGATAAGTCCCATGCTCAGTAGTAGCATGCGGGTTAGCAGGGGCGGCGAAGCAGAGGGAGAAGACGTCTTCCCGCATTACCCCGGCGCGCACGAGCTGGTTGGGCAGCGACAGCGCGTCCCTGCCCAGCCCCACGATGCCGTCCGCCCGCTGCAGGTACAGGTCGCCCGTCTCCTGCAACTCGCACCTGGGGGGGGGAGGGTGGGGGTGCAAGGCGGAGGGGAGAGAGAGAAACGCTGACTCGAACCTGCTGCTCGCTCTTCATCCTGTCACAAGCCCGCTGCAGGTATAGGACGCCCGTCTCCTGCGACTCGCACCTGGTGGGCCGGGGAGGGGAGAGGGGACAGAGGGACACGGGTGACAGCGCGGGGAATGGTGGGGCACAACGGATGTGCGAGGGGGAGAGGATGCGACTCTGAGGATTGGGGCCTGGGGCAGTAAGGAAGGGGGGCTGCAGCAGCTCACCCAAAGACGAGTCGCGGGCCATCTGGCGCAGCCCGCTCTGCCGCCCCTGTCACGCCCTCTCCCTTGCCTCCTCGCCCCTCACCCTCCGCCCCCCCACCGTCCCCTAGTCCCCCCACGCTGTCCTGTTCACCTCCCGGCCCCGCCTCCCCTGCGCCCGCCAGCAGCACTCTCTCGCCTGCCTGACCTGCTGCTGCTGCATCCCGTGAGGACGCCGCTCGAGAGCCGTTGAGAGGCACGGCGGCGGTGGCAGGTGGTGTAGGTTGGGGAGGTGAGTGCGTCTCGTGCACCTGCGCTGGCACGTGGGGCTGTGCAGCATGGAGGTGTGGCATGGCAGGGGAGTGGGGCGGCGGGGCGAAGGAGAGGAGGTCGGAGGCGAGGAGGCCACGCGTGGAGCTGGCTTCGGCGTACACGCCGTGGTATGTGCACAGCCCCGTGGACGAGCAGGCACGCGTGAGGCAGCGGTGGTGCGCGCAAGGGATTGTGGCATACGATGCTGAGAGCGCCGGGTTGAAGCGCGGATCCTGGGGTGAGGCGAGGGGGATGCGATTGTGACAAGTGAGGAGGGTGAGAGAGGGAAGGGTGAGAGAAGCGAAGCGAGGCAGGGTCGGTGCGGAGTGGTGGGCTCACTTGGTGGCCTCAAATACCGCTCAGTGCCGTGTGGCCCACATGGCTGTTGGAACAGCACCCACATGGCCGTGCAGAGGCGTGCTGTTGGAACAGCACCCACATGGCCGTGCAGAGGCGTGCTGTTGGAACAGCACCCACATGGCCGTGCAGAGGCGTGCTGTTGGAACAGCACCCACATGGCCGTGCAGAGGCGTGCTGTTGGAACAGCACCCACATGGCCGTGCAGAGGCGTGCTGTTGGAACAGCACCCACATGGCCGTGCAGAGGCGTGCTGTTGGAACAGCACCCACATGGCCGTGCAGAGGCGTGCTGTTGGAACAGCACCCACATGGCCGTGCAGAGGCGTGCTGTTGGAACAGCACCCACATGGCCGTGCAGAGGGGTGCTGTTGGAACAGCACCCACATGGCCGTGCAGAGGCGTGCTGTTGGAACAGCACCCACATGGCCGTGCAGAGGCGTGCTGTTGGAACAGCACCCACATGGCCGTGCAGAGGCGTGCTGTTGGAACAGCACCCACATGGCCGTGCAGAGGCGTGCTGTTGGAACAGCACCCACATGGCCGTGCAGAGGCGTGCTGTTGGAACAGCACCCACATGGCCGTGCAGAGGCGTGCTGTTGGAACAGCACCCACATGCATCCCACTTGTGAAACGAAAGCACACCGCCCAGCCATGGCTGCTCGAGCCAGCACACTAAATTGGGTACAACTGCTGTGCAGCTGCTGCAATGCGTTTGCTTTTGTGCTCCGTTTCTCCAGAGTAGTTACACAATCTCCTGTCTTCCCACTGGTCGCACCTGGTGGTTACAGCACCGCATCTGATGGTTACCGCATCGCACCTGGTGGTTACCGCAGTGCGTGCAGGCAGCGCAGGGCACGTAGGTGATGCTGCTGCCCGTGTCCGCTATGAGCGCGAACCGCTGTGGCGGCCACCCCAGGTACAGCGTCACGTAGTAGTACCTGGGGGGGTTGGGTGGGGCGGGGCGCAGGAGGGTGGGGCGCGGTTGAGGTTGAAGAAATTGTGGGGCGAGGAGAGGAATGGTGGGGTGAGGAAAGGAATGGTGCAGGAAACTGTTCGGGGTAAGGGGAGGGTGGGTTGTGTGAGTAGGACAGGAATCGAGGGACGGAGGCGCATGAGCAGCAGCAGCAGCAGCAGCAGCACCTGAACCCCATCACGGCCCCACTTTTGTAACTTCAACTCCCCCACGCATCTATCTCCCCCACTCGTCCTAGCCCCACAGCCTCTGCACCTGCCAGTCACTCACTGCAGCCCCACCACCCCTGTGCGCCACCCACCCTGTGCGCCACCCACCCTGTGCGCCACCCACCCTGTGCGCCACCCACCATGCGCGCCACCCATCATGCGCGCCACTCACCCTGCGCGCCACCCACCCTGCGCGCCACCCACCCTGCGCGCCACTCACCCGTGCGCGCCACCCACCATGCGCGCCACCCACCATGCGCGCCACCCACCCTGCGCGCCACCCACCCTGCGCGCCACCCACCCTGCGCGCCACCCACCCTGCGCGCCACTCACCCGTGCGCGCCATGCACTCACCCCAGCTTCACTCACCCCAGTTCCAGCACGGAGCCCCGCAGGTCAAGCGGCAGTCCCCGCAACTGCCGCCTCCACGTTCCAGCCTCTCCGCTTCCCCCCGCTCGCGGCGCCTCCCCTGCCCCTGCACGCTCCCCCCCGCCCGTCTTCCGTTCCCGCGAGTGCGCTCGCCGCACCTGCCGCTGCAGGGGCAGCACGATGGGCACTGGCTTCCCCGCAACTGCTTCTCGCTTCCGCCCCGCGCGCGGCGTCCGCCCTTCGTCTTCGTCTTCCCCCCCCGTCTCCCCTTCCCCGTCTTCCCGCACTCTCCGCGTCAGCGACTCCGCGATCGCCGCCGCCCATTGCGCGCTCGAGGCAACCCGCCTGGAAGCCGCCGCGGCCGAGCCTGATTCCAAAGCTGAATCCGAATCCGAGCCTGCGGTGGAGGCGGAACTGAATGGTTTCTCCGCGGGGGCTCCCTCGCGGATGGACGGCCACGCCGCCGCGCCCCTCGCGGCAGCGGCCGCAGGCAGGCGGAGGTTGGCGTCCCCGGATAGCACAACGCGGGATCGCACGAGCGCGCGCGGCGACGCGAGGAGGAGAAGGAAAACGGCGGGGAGCGCGAGTAGCGGGTGGAGAAGGCGGCGGGGTCGCGCGTGAGTGAGTCGCGTCGTGAGAAGCGTTTCGCGCTGCCAGCGACGAGCGACGACTCGCCGTCGAGTTGTCGCCAACGCGTGCTGCCATGTGGGGCGTGTCGCGCCGCCGTCATCCATGCGCCTCCCCGCAGCCCTTTCTACCAGGCCCGCGCACCTGCTGCGCTGCAGAACTCGCGTGAATCTCGCCACGTGGCCGACGCGGACTAGGTGTCACCGCCACCACTAAGGAAGCGGTTGCGAGTCGCGAAAGCTAGTGAGCAGCGCGGCGCGCAGGAGTGGGTAGAACGCGAATCTAGTGCTCAGCTGACTCCTGACAGCGGCTCACAGCGCTACGGCGCGTTGCAAGCATTGCGACAAGCACTACGGCGTGTTCTCAGCGGTACAGCGCGTTTCCAGCACTACAGCGCGTTTTCAATGCTACAGCGCGTTTTCAGCACTACGGCGCGTTTTCAGTGCTACAGCGCGTTTTCAGCACTACGGCGCGTTTTCAGTGCCATAGCGCGTTTTCAGTACTCGTGGCTCGCGCAAGAGAGGAGAACGAGGAACGCATGGGTGTCGTGGTTCTGGGGGGAGGTCAGTCACAGGCAAGGATTGCTGCGCAGGGCAAATAGAATGGAACGTCGGGGGCCCGAGGGAAATAAGGGCGCGTGTCTTTTGGTGTAGAGGTTCAGAAATTTGGTCAAACTTTTGATGGTAACTCGCTTCGCCAATTTCGTTTTGTGCTCTTTGCGAGAATCGTGTGTCCTATCTCTGGCAAGGGCGATGAAGTGGGACACTAAGCCTGGGTCGAACTCACGTACGAATTTGTTGGATGAACGTTAGGTCAAGCGTGTGTCCTGATCGGCACGCATCCTGAAAATGCGAAGAATGCGACAGTCGCAAATCACATCGCGCGCGAAACCGACGCCAATTGGATGATGCGCGATGTCGTCAACGTCGAGGCATGAGAACCGGGTAACCTACGAAAGTTGAACCTAGATGCTCGAACTTTGGTGTGCCTTGTGCTTTTTGCAACTTGGCAATTCGCGATTCGGGCCAAAAAGTTGAGGTGTTCGAGTACAGCTCGACTTGGGTTCAAACGTGAAAACTCGACTGAAAAACATGAACTTAAGCCTGAAATTCAAAAGACACGCGCCCTAACTCCAGTTTGAGGAGTGGTGGCTGGCTGCAGCGGTGGCAGAGCCCAACCAACCAATCCGTCTGCCCGTATCGTCGCGTACTAGCGGCGCTGCTCTCCCCTCCTCACCACTAGTTTCACTCACGCAGAAGAAAGGGCATGCGCTGAAACCCCTCATCCCACCCCGCCCCCCGCTGAAGCCCGGGCAGATCCGACCCCAGTTCGGTTTCAGCTCATGCACCACTGTTCAGACTGGTGCGTAACGTTTTAAAGCGGTGGAGAGTACTTACCAAATCAGAGTTCATAGCATTGTAACACCACCGCTTCTATTGAGCCGAAAGCAGGTGAAGTCTGACCTGACCGCCGCCAAGGCAGATCTGACGGGCTTGGGATGTCGCTTCGCCAGCATGCGAAATTCGTCCGCACCGCAACCAACCATCGCAAATTCGCAGCGCTTCGCGGGGACAGGTTGGGGAGTATGGTATGAATGAGGGGGAGGTGTGCCAGCGCCAGTGGCGGCGTGTGGCTGGCTGGCGAATCTCTTGCGCCGCCTGATGGTTCGTAGGCGGGAAACGAACTCAACTGTTCGATCCGTCAAAGTACATGGTGAAGTACTTCCTTCCAAATTTTTATAAGATTGTTATTTTCGCTTACAAATTGAGAAAGCGTGCTTTCAGTTCTTGCCAAGGCAACGGGCTTCATTACAATTGCAGTAATACAACATTCTCGTCCAACTATTGGATTATACAAATATACAACTAGGGTGGGTGGGTGGGGAGTGGAACTGCAAAGTTCCGAAATGAAGTCATGGGTCGAGGCCGAATGGCCTCCAACCCTCGTTATGTACTCGGCGAATTGTAATTCGCCGTTGCTTTGCTTCGTTACAGGCAGCTGCGCTTTCACAATACACATTTTGAGAAAGCTTGCTTTCTGTTCTTGCAAAGGCAACGGGCTTCATTACAATTGGGTCTTCTGAGACATGTGCAGTTGGGGTATTGTAGACGTGGTGGATGTAGTTGCAGTTGATGGTCTTTACGAGGTGACGAGAGAGGCGGCGTTGGAGATTGAGATTTCCACGTCGATGACGTTCAGAATGTTGTGTGTGCGAAGGTTGCTCGATAGGTTGATGTGGGTGACTCTGTTTGTTGGTTCGGCAGGATACCGTAGTGGTACACAAATTTTGTCGTTTAACTCCCAAAGGTCTATCCAAGTTGTTAACGAGTGGCGAGCTTGTGATAGCATGCAAGTCGCTTCACACAAATGGTTTTATTTCCCTGTTGAGATCGAGCACAGTGGGATGTGTGCATGATAGCGAAAACCGATCCCCTCCTCATTGCCCTTATTGGGGAAAACATTGAGTGCGGTTTACCGGTAAGAGTGTGTGTAAAGAACCGTAGTCAAGTCAGATTCAGAATTCATATTGAGTTGCACTCTACCAACCGTTTGTAACGAGATCACTCAAAAACAGTTGCTTACTTGGATTTTGGTGGGGCTCCAAACCAGCCTTTATTGGTCAAGGAATGCTTGAGTCCTTTCTTCCTTTCCTTTTTTTTTTTTGAATTATATTATTATTCCATACATCAATAGCCAAGAATGATCCATCCATCCATCCCCTCAAATTTTAACCCATCTTACGGTAAGGCCAGCATGGGAACCTTCGGGTCCCTTCCCCCCCTGGGGGACGGCTCTCAGGCCACACGGGGACCCTCGGTCCCCTTCCCCCCCTGGGGGACGGCTCTCAGGCCACACGGGGACCCTCGGTCCCCTTCCCCCCCTGGGGGACGGCTCTCAGGCCACACGGGGACCCTCGGTCCCCTTCCCCCCCTGGGGGACGGCTCTCAGGCCACACGGGGACCCTCGGTCCCCTTCCCCCCCTGGGGGACGGCTCTCAGGCCACACGGGGACCCTCGGTCCCCTTCCCCCCCTGGGGGACGGCTCTCAGGCCACACGGGGACCCTCGGTCCCCTTCCCCCCCTGGGGGACGGCTCTCAGGCCACACGGGGACCCTCGGTCCCCTTCCCCCCCTGGGGGACGGCTCTCAGGCCACACGGGGACCCTCGGTCCCCTTCCCCCCCTGGGGGACGGCTCTCAGGCCACACGGGGACCCTCGGTCCCCTTCCCCCCCTGGGGGACGGCTCTCAGGCCACACGGGGACCCTCGGTCCCCTTCCCCCCCTGGGGGACGGCTCTCTGGCCACACGGGAACTCACGATTTCTTCTTTCCGTTCGAGGGCGTCCTTAGGTGTGCGTGTAGTTGATCGTATCGTCGGTGCGATTTTCCGGCGCGACGAGCAGGGTCCCACTTCTTAAAAAAAATCTTTCACAATCATGGCGTTGAGCTCGTTTTTCTGCCATGAAGGGACTGACGGAGCATAGAGATTAATCGAGAGAAAACGCAGATAACATATCGAAAAACTGAACATTTGAAAAAGAAAGGAGATGAAATTGACTTGCAGCACTTCTATGCAACTGGACAAGCTGGTGGTTGACGCCTAGTCAAAACGCATTAGGCGCTGCAGTGGCCATTTCGTCTCTGTAGCGCTAGTGGCAATTTCGCCACTGCCGCCCCTCGCAATTTCGCCACAGTCGCGCGTGTGGTGATTCCGTCCTTGGCGCGCGCCACTTGCGCCAGTGGCGATTTCGTCCTTGGCGCG